TTGTTTTTATTGTTGGAGGAAGGTCATTTATGTATATTATAAAAAGCAAGGGCCCTAAAATTGACCCTTGGGGAACTCCATGTTTTATTGTTCCCCAGTTTGAGAAAAAATTTCCTTTGTTTTTAGGTGCTTTTACTTCGACCTTTTGCTTTCTAGCTGTTAAATAGGATCTGAACCATTGCGCTGCTATTCCTTGAATGCCATAAATATGCAATTTACCAAACAAAATTTCATGATTTACACAGTCAAAAGCTTTTGCTAAATCACAGAAAGTTCCTCCAACATGCATTTTTTGGTTAACAGATTTTAGCACATTGTCTGTTAGTTTGAAAGCTGCATCTTCAGTGGATACACCTTTCCTGAAGCCAAATTGTTCTGGGACTAATATGTTGTTAGCATGCATATGATGACTTAATCTATTGACTTAATCACAGGTGTTGACAAGGCAACCACGGGAAAAACAGATGTAACAATAGTAGTCAATGTTGTAGTAATGAATCCTTAGTTAATGATAAAAGAGTTATCTGCCAGAAAAAATATTTTGGAAACAGGATTACCTTCTGGTGTAGGCGGAGGTATGGTGGCCATTATAAGCTCTATTTGATTGATGGTAGATGTGCCTTGAAATAGAGGCTTCCCTAAGAACATTTCTGCAAGAATACACCCTAGGCTCCACATATCAATTCCCTGAGTGTACCTGTAATTGAAGTGCCAAACAAATACTGAAGCATTCATGTAACAAAGCATGCCAAATAATCTCTACATTTAATGACTGTAATAATATACTATGAGTATTTTAATTTCAAGCAAAATAAAAACAATAAAATGCTTCTCATTCTACTTTCACAGAACACATTCCAGAGAATTCTGTTTAAGAATAAAATGATAATACCCAGTGCCTTTGTTGTATGTTCATACATGTGACAAGTCTGTAAGGCTTTCTTAAGCTTATTTCCAGGATCTGATATTTGTTCCATTTTCTGCACATTGATAATAAAAATTAACCCAGTTACTGTACCCAAAGTAATATTCTCCTTTGAAAAACAAACATCACAATTCAACTATAAAATTGTATTTGCATCACTTTTTTATATCTTGAGACTAGTTGGATACAAAAAAACAAATACATGTCAAAATACAGAGTATACACAAAAGAATGCTGCGGTTTCAAAAGTTAATAAAAAATTTATTTCTCATCTTACACAGGCACAACATACACCGCCAGCAGCGGCAACTGTCCAAGTTTCTCATGCATTAATTACAATCCTTCAATGCGTGCACCCTGGGTCACACGACACACATCCACACGGTAATCAAACTCATCCCATCCAGCGCTGTGGAAAAACACGATTGAGAAGCACTCGTACATTCCTGTGAAAATGGGGGGGAGCTCCGTACAGTTGTAGAATGTAATCGTCATAATTGTTATTCAGTTGGGGTAACAACCAGCTTTCCAACATGTCCAAAAATGAGTCACCAGTCACAGTTGCTCCATTCTTTTGTGTAAACCCTGTATTTAATTACAACTCCTCATACATGATTTTGGTATACAAAAATTACAAGTATACATTTCATTCATAAAGTTTTACAGTGCTTGCAGGCTTGGTGCAGAATAAAATAATAATAATAATAAAACGTGATTAACTACATATTTTGACCAAGGACAAAATGGATGACACTGACACCTGACTAGAAATGAAAGTGTCAATTTGCCTTTTTCCAAAACATGTCTAAAGAAAATAGCGGTACACCTAAAATCACAAGGGCATGTCAATATGTTTAAAGGTGCCTATTTATTTATTTCCATACTTACCATTTTGAGCCAATAAGTATTTCAGGAGCCCGATACCAACGAGTGGCCACATAGTCGGTGAGTGCTGGATCTGCTATCTGTTCACCTGAGCCATTACATGTGGATCCCAGTTGTGCCACGGAGCGTGCTAGTCCAAAGTCTGCTATTTTGCAGATACAATCAGAATTTAGCAGAATATTGGATGGCTGGAAACATGGAGAAACTGATAAATAATTAACAGATGCAAATTCAACATGGTACTATAACTAACCCCTGTCATTAAAGCAGACCACATAAAAATTTACATCAGTTATTACTGTGCAAAAAAAGTCTTATCTAATGCCACCAGTTACATATACTTCTTGGTCTATATTTTCCTAAGCAATGGTGAAGGAGCCCATTTTGAGGACAGGGAAATTAACAGAGTTCTACTACCACTGATGCTAAGGTTGAAAACCCACAAAGTAGACTGACAGCTCAACCAATGGCAGGTTTGGAATTCCTCACATTCTAAAGTTTTACTTTTACAGGTGAAGAAAGGGAAAGACATGCAAAAAAAATCCCTGTAGGTATCCCCAGTCTCAAAGTCATTGTCTCTGGCACAGAAGTTCAGAGCTGTATGACTAGACCACCAGGCATCTTGTTGAGTATGAAATTTGATTTTCAGGACTCAGAAATCTATTTGTATTATATATGTAATAACACATTTTTTAAAAAGGATAATATATACAATATAGCATCACCCCATGACAAACATGCTGTCCGACTACAAAACAAAATTTTAGAATTTGTAATCAACTAGTGACACTCACATAGTAAGCCACACAGGATACAAAACTTAAACTATGTAGTTTTCATGGAAGTAAGAATAACAGCAAAAGCAAACTGCTGACATAAGAGGCACACTTGATGACTTAACTGAAGCAGTCTTCCACACTAATTTTGAGAGATGAAAATAAGATACAATTATTAACAAAATATAATGATGTTCAACTGTCTAGTTCAGTTGATGTATCCTAACAGTCATTAATCTCAGTCTAAGTCAGAACAAGTAAATAGTCTAATATGTTAAAAGTAACCCCTATCACTTGTTGAATTTTATTACCACTGTGATATGATAAGTGGTCCGCAGTGGCCGCGCGGTCTGATATGATAAAATATAGGTACACCCCCTTAGCTTGAAAGGAATGTCCTGAACTTTATCTTAAATTTTGCCACAAGTAATATGGTTACAAGCTGAAATGTGTTCTATGATGTGTTTTCTAATGAAACATGCAACCACTTGACAGGAGATACTTTTATTAATTAAGGTAACATTTTTTTAACAATATTCAGTATGCATTATGATAAAAATACAACACAACCACATACAAATATAACATTCAAATAATGAACACAAATACAAAAACAGCAAGAGCACTCATAGAAACTAGAGAAAATGTAGCATGTAAAAGACTTTCTTACATACTTTCTGGTCACGATGAATAACATTTCCAGAATGGATATACTTTGTGGCTTTGAGCAACTGGTACATGATGAAGCGTTTGTGGATATCCTTCAAAATGGTACCTCGTCTGATCACACTATGCAAGTCAGCATCTGCAAACACACCCAACAATCAATAGCAATAATACTGTCTATTTCTTCTGAAGTTCTTCCAAAATCCAGCACTTTCTTCATATGTTTCTGGGTGGGTTACCACAAAACTTAATTTTTAATATTAACATGGAGCAACAAATGTGTCAATAATATGCAAACAAGTGAATAACGCAATTCATACCAAGAATACTTAAACTAGAAGGTGAAAATGGTAACTGAATAGTTTAATGAAAGCTAATAGAATATTAGATTTAAAACACCTTCTGATATTTGCCAATTTGTAATGATCTGAAAGGTTCTATAACTCTTGAATGCTGCTTGTAGATTCCATAAAACACTAAATGAAAATGTTTGGTGTTACAGTGTATTGTTATATTCATTTAAATTTTTCACTATCTACAAATAGATACTGATCTCTTACTTTGTTGTGGCCCTTGAGTTCTGGCTGAACTATAAAATTCCTCAAGAACACTAACAAATATGAACCTTTAAGAGGATGTATAAACCAGTTTGCTATATGGGGCAGCTGAGTGAAGAGATTTTAGCACACTAATACTAGCAAACATGAAACAACAGTCAAGCAATTTAGGTAATAAAATAAAAGAAAGTTTCAGAAGCTATATCGGTGTTAGAGCAAATTAAAACAAAAAGAATAATAGAGGGAAAAATTTAATTAAATTTGGTGAATCTCCTTCATAAAAAAAATACACAATGAAAGAGTTTGCAAGTCTCTGAAAGCTACAATTGACATTTTTATCAAGTATAATTTAGTGAAATTAATTGCCAGGAAGTATCTGCTGTAAAATTAGTTCCACAAAAATAGACTTACACCTGCAATAAATAAACATCACAGAAAATGAGGCTTTCTAAATCATGATGTATTAACTGAAAGATTTGCATTATGCCTTACCTCTCTTAAGATGGCTGTTTTCTAGGATGTTGCACAATGTAGTTTGGTAGGTATTGACTGAAATTTCAGGAAAGCTTACTGCCTTTATCATCAGGGTGCCCTGATGATGAGGCAGTTTGCTCCTCAGAAACATCCATACCAGACTACATGGTGCAACATTCCAGAAGACAGCAGTCATCATGAGAATCTGAAATCTCACATACCATTCTTGTTCTACATGTTAAAGTTCTATAATCAAAAGTCAATCTAAGAGTGAATACACAAATTCCAAATCAAAATTGAATATATAGTTCATGCATTAATTAATGACTGGACAGTACTACTGGATTATGCAACAAATTAAAGAACTGTAGAATTTCTATAAACGTACCCATGTACTCAAAAACTAGGTAAATATCATTATTATTTACAGCACGGTGTATACTGCGAAGCTTTACAACATTTGGGTGATTTCCAAATTCTTGTAGGAACATGATTTCTCTGAATGTCCGCTGAGCATCTGTTTGATTTCGGAATGCATCATATATTTTCTTCACGGCAACAATTTCATTGTTTCTTCTGTCAATTGCTTTCCATACTATTCCATATGCCTACATTTTGCATAAAATTTAGGAAATATTAAAATGCACATAGACAAAATAAACACTGATTATTATCACAGCAAATTCAACTTCATGTCTGTGCACACATTAAACATTTCGTAAAACTTACGCCTTTTCCTAACCTCCTTTTGATGTCATATCTCTTTGAGATATGCTCGTCTATTTCTGCAGCGCTCATATTGACGTTAAAACACCGTTGTCAGGCCTCTAATGAGGGTCCCATTTTACGAAAAGTCTCAAAGGCTTACAGTATCTCAGGCCAACCTCCGAATATTAAAAACACTTCTCTGCTCCATTAACAGATAATATGTTAGTGGCAGACCTTACTACTGGCCTTTACTCGCAGACACAAATTCTGTTTTACACTTTGTACATCAAAAACACCACTACAAAAGCGTCATTATTATTTCGTTGTCATAGTTACAGACGGTTGGTCTTCCAACCTAATAATCACACATGTCCCTGCCATAGAGTAGAGAGAGAAATGTGAATAATAAAATACACTTCCAGGTTATTAGTGTATTTTTTACTCTTCAGAAAATCCATGCCAATATTACCATTGCATTATTGGTATTATTATTTTAGCATATCGGTATGTCCATAAATTTGACAAACATGAATCATACAATAGATGAAGAAGAAGAAGTATGTAATAGGTACTGACCACATACAAGCATGATCTAAGACCACAGAGATAACAGGACACCCAATTTAAATAGTGTTTGAGTATTCCGTGCTCATGCGGGATCATGGATTGTTATGGAGGGAAAATTGTGTTGCAGATTAATCAACTTTGAAAATGAAAATCACTTCCAATGACCACTGAAACCCAAACGCTACACAGCATTATATAAAATGTTTATGCGTGAAAGAGCATTAACGTTTCGTACATTCTTATAACAATGACTGACGAGTGTGATGCGAAGCCAAACGACAGTGTGCAGAATATTTCAATTCTCAGTACTCAGCGAAAACAGAATCTTGCGTCTTGGGGTCTTCCAGATACTATACTAAAGGTATATATGTACACATGTAAATTGTTTTAAAAGGCTGTTCCAGCCATCAACATTGTTGTTACTGGCTATATTTTGTGAAAAAGGACTGAAGCGAACTCTACCGTCCAGTTCCTGGGTGCTCTATTTATATTATTTTTATATCCTTCACATCATGTTAATTAAAGAGGGAAAGTCTTTTAAATAGCTGCTGTGTATAATTTTTTATATTTTGATACATTACGAATTAAAAAAGACTGATAGAAATAGTGCTTCTTACGTGTATCAGTTTTCACAGCCAAAGAAGAGGGATTTTCAAATGACAACCAATAAACACGTTCAGTCAAGTGAATATACGATATATTTTTTAATTATTTATTGTTCACAGACGTTGCATTGAAATACTTCACAATTTTTTCCCACGTCATTACGTTTGGTTTCCACATTTTGATCACATTAACAGACTAATTCTTATAAACATAATTACACATTGTGTTCTCTTCTTATATTATTATTTGCTGGAGCAACCACATTTATTGCGGTTTCTTAATAATTCCGGTAAATGTAACATTTTTACATTTGTGATATGAGTTCTCGGCACTGGATGCAATATTGTAATCTCAGACACTGATTCCATACTGATCTTCTTTACCGTTTCCAATATGTCATATACATTTTTCAATGTAAGTTGGTATCCCTAATTATATATTGCTGTTTGCATTTTGTCCAACAGCATTATGAGGTGTCTGGTGTTGTGTCCATGTTTCCATGGCAGGTTGAATGCCTCAGTAATCCTAGAGTCCTTGAAGGGGGAAATCTTATTTATTCAGCACCAACTTCTGCAGGTATGCTAGGATAATACTAAAATTACCTTTGTTTTTCATGTATAGTCTCACAAGAAGTATGTTTCAATCTAAAATTTTGCAAGGAAGTGGTTATGGCCTGATATAAGGTACTATCTTGGAAGGACTGAGGAAGATCATGAAAAACCTCAGTCCCAATAGCTGGTTTCAGGAAAAACATTTGATCTCGGGACCTCCCACACATGAAGCAGGAGTATTAACTGATCGCCTGCCATCTATAGTAATTAACAAATGTTAGGAGGAACCTGCTGTCTCCCTAAAGATGGATGTAGTTCCTCTGAAACATTAACCACTAATTTATACCCTAATGCTGAAGGCAGCAAGTTTTTGAAAATGTTGATAATTAATCACACCATGTCACTTGGTGTCATAATCCAGAAAACCACAATTTGAATTGAATGTCCTCAATGAGACACTGATTTTCACTAGATGTAGGTCTAATAGCTGTTTTTATTCCTTCTTGTTTTCATGGATTAGGCATCTTGATGCTTATACTGGGCTCAGAATGTTTTTCCAGTATATCCTTTATCTTCCTTATACACTTTACTGTACTGGTTTATAATCTGAGTTGATTGTGTTGAATGTAGGGTGGTGGTAGCAGTAGTAGTAGTAACATGTGATTATCACATGACTTATGGATGACTGAGTATGGATCTGTGTGTTGCAGAAATCTCTGGAGGTTAGTTATAACATTTCCTCCATCACTGACATCTGTAAATTAATTACATAATTTGCAGTATTTGAAGATAGTATAAAATTCTGTGAACATTTCCTAGACACTTGATCTTTACTAATGAGTACATGTGTCATTTTAACAGGTAAAACACTAGTTGCTGAGATTCTCACCATTAAGACAATTCTTGAAAGGAAGAAGAAAGTTATCATCATCCTTCCATTTGTGTCAGTTGTACGAGAAAAAATGTTCTACTTTCAGGTATAACTAGTGATATCTTTTCATAGGATGGATAAATTAGGAATATGGGCTTCAACATACAACTAAACATGATTATTTTCAAATGTCACTCATGAATTAAATTAAGAATCAGTATATATTTACATCTCTACTGTAATATCAATAACAACAATAGCACAGTGTTTTATTTATTTATTTGTATTTAAAGAGGTTATAAAATTGTTTTCATGCTTGTAGGTCTTGCTATTTGACTATTAAATTATTATTACTTGATAAATGTACTTTGGAAATTATGAGTCATCACCCTGTTGCCATCATTCCATAACAAGAATGGCAATTTTTCCCTAATCTATAAATGAATTCTCAGCATTGGAGGTAATACTGTAATTTTGGAACCTGCCTAGTGCAGTTTCTTTCAACATTAGTTCATTATAGCTCTGGAAGTCTTAAAAATCAAGAGTGCTACAAATACAAAAAAATAGAATTCAAAATTTTAACATTTAAATATTATGTTCATATTTGTTTGCTCAGCTGATGAGTGCTAAACATTATTTAGTACTTCCTACAGCTAAGAGAAAGTAGTTGTCTCTATTAGTGTTTCCACTGCTCTCAGTTTCTTCCAGGTTAAAGATGATTGTCTTCTAGATGTTGTGCCATGCACTTTCACAGATTCTGGCCAATGTATTAGAGGTGCTTACTGCCTCCATAATCAGGGCGATGAGTATGGAGGCAGCAAGGACATCTGGAACGTCGGTGAACTTCTACCAGACTACACAGAGCAACAACCCAGAAAACAGCCATCTTCAGACTCACTGCCATGAAAATCTCAAATCCTATGATTTTTCATTTATCTTCTACCTACTAATACCATGTAAAAGTTTCAACAGATGTGATTAACTTTCAAAGGATTAACAAAGTCAGGAGGTCAAGGATATAATTCATATAAAACAATAAAGCTGGTACTCTCCTTACAAGAGGGATTTTATATAATGGTCACATATCAGGAAGCAGTATCATTTGTTCAATGGTTGTACCAGACAGACTGAAGGTTATTGGTGCATGTTTTACATAGGACTTGCTGTCCAGAAGTGGGGTGCGAGTGGAAGGGTTAATGGGAAGTCATAGTCTGCCTGGTGGTTTCAAAAGTGTTGACATTGCCATCTGTACCATTGAGAAGGCTAACAGTCTTATAAACAAGTAAGTATGTTTTATCCAACTTCTTTAGGAGATTTACTGTCATATTGTTCATCTATCATTCTGAACATAACACAACATTTTGGAAACTGAATGTTTCCATCCTGAGGTGAAAATGTGGGAAGTACCTATACCTGCACACAAATAGATCCAGTTTCCAATGTTTTTTCTTCATCCCAGAATACTAGATGATGGATGATGTCCAGAAACCCAGTAATTATAAATGTGTGAGGCTTGATCAAAGGAAACCCATTTGGGGATTGTTCAGGGCAAAGGCGTAGAAGCCATTAAAATTACCCACCTGGGCTTTATGTAGGCATTCCACTGTACCACTGACACACCAACTGATGGATCCTCTTCACAAAATTACTCCCTGGGTTGCTGCTGGAACTACTGTACTGCTGTGGCTTTGACATTTTTGTTTGATCCAAATGTAAGACAATTAGTGTTATCTTGAGGGGGCCAAACACATGGAAGTCACATGCTGACAGTTCGAAGCTGCCATAGGCAGATGGTCCAGCACCTTCTGGAGTATGAAGAGCAGTGTGTGCTGGACAATGTGGACCACATGGAGATGGGTGTTGCTGTGGACATGATGGAACACATTCTCTTGATGGTAGTACACATCACAAATTCTCCCATGAAATTCAACTGGTTCACAGCCCTCAGTATCAAGCAGCTAAATGGCAGCTTGTTGGTTCTATTTGGAGGGATTCTGCATGTGGAACATCATCAGCATTTAAAGATGTCACATTGTTTCCACTTCCTCTGACACGCCCATTCTGTTGCACAGTTCGAGGTTGACTGTTTGTGTGTCATGCACACAGCCACATGATCACTTGGGACTGGCAGTATTCACTAGAGCTACAGCAGATGGGTTTAATTTGAAGTAAGTGTTATAAATAAAATGACTGTTCTGGACATTGTCCACTGTCAACATTTTTGAATGTAGCATTTGCAAAACTGGGTCTGTTTCTATCAACAGGTAACAGGGAAGAAAGATTCCTACTCAGTTGAACCCCTTGCACAAAGATAGTCTGCTTTGTTCATATACCAAGAAAAGAACTGGGTAATTTGTAAAAGGTTTCCATTCTTCTGAGGAATTTCATTAGTAGTGACAATAAAGTCTAATTCATCTTTGCTGTTTCCTGATGTGCATGCATGTAAAACCTGCTGTAGCGCAATATGAAACACTAAAGAATCTCATACAGATCTCCATATGATACAGGTAATTGTATTTGAAAAACATTGCTCCAAATTACAAGTCAGAAATCTGTACATTGTGTACACGTTATATTAATATATTTAACTGTATTTTACTTTTTGCAGTAATCTATTAAAATATTCTATGTATTATTTTATTTTTTACCATCATGTGGTTCTTTTTCATTTACAACAGTAATGTTCCTTTTCTTAGGGAAGATCAATAAGGAACAAGATTATATGTACAGAAAGCAATAAATATTCAAATAATAGACATTTTCTGTTCATTGAAAATCATTCTACATTCATTTTCAGTATTTATTTTCAGAATCAAACAATATTTCTGTACACCTTCTGTTTACTCCAGTTTCAATTTTTGACAGGTTTTATTTTGCTAAAGTTTTGTATGTTTGGTGTTGGTTAGAACAATGTTTACATTTTAGTGGTTGACTGATTGGTGTATAGGTTACTGGAAGAAAGGTCTCTTCATAAAGTTGGTACTGTGGTTGTTGATGAATTGCATCTCTTGAGTGATCCTTTTCGAGGTTACCTGCTAGAACTGCTTCTCACCAAGATACTCTACATGTGCACCACGTGAGTTTCTTCATATCTGTTGTTTCTTTTCTGTGCAGAACGGCAAGGCGTGACAGTATGGTTTGTTTATGAAGATCTTGAACACATTTTCACCAGTTTTTAGTTCATGTCAAAGACAGAATATAACAAAGTTTGTATGTAATGTTCAACAGTGAAAAGGAGCGAAACAGTACATATACATAATTGTGTTTAGACAGTAAGAAGTTAACAATACATGTGTTATCTGCAGCACCACAGTAATAAAATATACACATACTGCATATACAGTCTAGCCCTGCTTGCTTCAGAAATTAATATTTGTAAAATCATAATTTGAAAACTACACTTCAGAACAGTTGAAACCCTTTTGTAAAGTTCTTTTATTTGTTATTGTCTCACAAATTCCATTATCATGACTCAGTGTTACAATTTAGTATCAGAGTCTGTCTTTTAATGGTTACTTTGATTTATTCCAAGTGAATGCACTTAATTTCTCATCAATTGTTCAAGGGAGGACAGTGTGAATATTCAGGTTGTGGGCATGTCGGCTACTATCCCCAACTTGGCACTCTTAGCCAAGTGGCTGGGTGCCGATCTCTATCGAACAGACTTTCGACCAGTTCCTCTGAAAGAATTCTTGAAAGTTGGTCCTACTGTATATGACAACCAACTGAAGAAGCTATATGATATGCAGTCTTCCAAACATATACAGGTGAGATCATTGTAAACAGTTTTATCATTATCTTGTTATGAAATGAAAACTACTACATTATTTGTCCAGTTCAATATTCAACAGTATTTTACCACTGAATGGGTTAAGATAGTACTGATGCTTAAGAAAGTATTAAGTGTAATTTTAAATTTTCTTCAAATATTCCACACAGATTACTAATAGACAAATTATCCTGCATTTGAACTTAGATCAAAACTTACAAGTCCCTCTCAGAGACCTCCATATAACAGAGAGAAGTCCATTGCCTGGCAAATTTTATATGAGTTTAAACCTCTGTAAAAGTAATTTCCCGAAGTCCAACAATTTAGGCCTGATAAAC